CATGCACCACCATGCCCAGCTAATTTTTGTATTTTTGGTAGAGACGGGGTTTCACCACGTTGACCAGGACGGTCTCGATCTCTTGACCTTGTGATCCACCCTCCTCGGCCTCCCAAAGTGCTGGGATTACAGGCGTGAGCCACCACGCCCGGCCAGTTCACGCATTTTCTTGCCTTCTGCAGTGCCTGACAGGTTCCCAGCGGTGAAAGTCAGCTTTGGAGCGCCCTCCCCTGGCTCTGGGCAGCTACTGGAGCAGCTGTGGCACAGGTTAAAACAGATTGCCGGGCCCCACCCTTGGAGTTTTGGATTTGGCGGGTCTGGGGTGGGATCCAAGAATTTGCACTTCTAACAAGTTCCCAGGTGATGCTGACCTACTGATTCAAGACCACTTACTGAGAACCTCTGATGTAGGTAAAAGAAGATTTTGCAGCCAGAATACCTGGGTTCAGGTCCCAGCTTTGCCATCCAAGTGCTGTCACCTTGAACGTGATACTTAACCTCTTGGCATATCAATCTCTTTATTTTATGATGGTTACAATAACAACCACCTGTAAGGTTAATGTGTAAAATAAATAAATCAGGTCTAGACAAAGGTCACATATTTGTGGGTCTGTATACTCACACAGGATCAGTAGGCCTGAAAAGTGGCATACTGATCCTGTGTGAATATACAGACCCACAAATATGTGACCTTTGTCTGGAGAGATGGCACTGGAGGCCACGGAACGTCCGCAGTGACAAAAGCATCCCCTTCTTGCTACTCAAAAATACAACAAATCCAGAAGAAATTGTGTTTATCCTTCCACAAATATTGGCTGAGGAAGGACTAGGGCCTGGCACTGTGCTGTATACCACGTTTGCAAGGTGAATGACAGGTCCTGCCCTGGAGGAACAACTAGAAGGAGGATAAACATGCAAATCCTAATAATCACCCTAATCCGAGATGAGCCAGGGAAGGAACCCTGTACCTGGAGCACAGAGCATCCAACCCTGCCTGGGAAGTCAAGCGAGGCTTTGAAAAAGAACCTGACTTTTGAGTAGGGTCTTGAAGGATGAATAGGAGTTCTTTAAGAAGAGAAGTGGTAGGAGGCACTCCAGGCAAAGGAACCAGCATATGCAAAGTAGTCACAGAAGCATGAAAATGCATAACATGTTCAAGGAAATCGCAGATGGTTCTATGTAACGGGAGCTCAGTGGGTCTGGATTGAGAGGATTGGCAAAAAAGGCTACGAAGTTTGGGCCTGATTGCAATCTGGTGGGAGCCATTGGGAGACACCTAATGAGGATTACTTGGAAAAAATTATTAATGAGTCTAAGGTGAAGATTTCCAAGCCAAGGGCCTTCACCACATACCCTCAGCAGCCCCAATGCCTGAGAGCCTCTGCTGCCAGGAAGCCTGGCCCAGAAACGCCTCCTGCAACGGGTGGTAGCCCTGGGTAAGAAATTTCCCTGGAAGGCACAAGCAGTAAACGGGCAGCCTCTTACCTCTTACCTTCATCAGATACTGGCGGGAGGCACCTTCCTGGCAGGTTTCTTCATCCCCCTCTCCTTCTGTGGGTGTGGAGTCACTGAGAGAACAAAGGGATTTTATCTGTAGCTAATAAGTTACGGGAGGGGGAGGGGGCCGTAGGCGCCTGTGGAGGTGGGGAAATGAGTCCTGAGCAGCTCTGATGCAATCCAGGACAAGGCAGGTGGGAAGCCTGCACCTGGGGAGCAAACCCCCTGCCTCCCCTTAGTTCAGAGTTTTGAAGTTGAAAGAGGCACCTCTAAGACTTGCCCATGATCCCACAGCTAGCTGACGCCCGGCCCCCTCTCCCCATATCTGACTCCAAGATAAAAGGTCCCGCCTTGGAAAAACTGGTGGTTTCTGTGTTCATTGACCTCACTCCCTCTTCCTGAGTCTCTCCTGCAGCCTTCCCCTCCCAGCCCAGTCCCTGTCCCTCTTTCAGACTCAGCCTTTGGTTTCCAAACAGGTATAGAATGTGGTGTGCAAAAAATGGCCTCCACTATTTTTGAAAAAAGCAATGGCAAGAAAAAAAGAGCAAACTGCTATTCTGGGCCACACGGGCTTGGGGTTTGATTCCAATTTCTTTGTCTCCGGTGAAGTTGGAAGCAACTTGCTCTTGTGAGAATAATCCCTTTTGTTTTTAGGAAAAGATTTTAATAGGTCTTTGGGTTATGCAAGGATAAAACGTGAACCTTTTCTGGAAAGGAGACAGTGCAATGCAGGACCATGTGAGGGCAGAGGCTCCTCTTAGTCACGGTAGAAGGTGGCTTTCTTTGAGAGAGAACGGTATCTCTGCAAGGGTTATAGGGAGTTTTGTTAAAGCTGTGCTTGGGGAATTTAAGAAAGGGGCCTAGGCTGGGCACGGTGGCCCACACTTGTAATCCCAGCACTTTGGGAGGCCGAGGCAGGCGGATCCAAGGTTGGGAGTTTGAGACCAGCCTGGCCAACATGGTGAATCCCCATCTCCACTAAAAATACAAAAAATTAGCCAGGTGTCATGGCGGGAGCCTATAACCCTAGCTACTGGGGAGACTGAGGCAGGAGAATCGCTTTAACCCAGGAGGTGGAAGTGGCAGTAAATTGAGATGGCACCACTGCAACTTCAGCCTGCGTGACAGAGTAAGACTTCGTATCAAAAAGAGAGAGAGCTCTGTTTCTGCAGCGGGTGCCAGCAGGATTGAGCTGGTGATTAGCAAGGAGGGCACCCAGGGTGTGTGTGAATTCTCAGGAGTCCTTGCAAACAAGGGGAGAGGAAACCCAGGAAGGGCCGAGCTGTGCCGTTCCCATTTGGTGACTGCAGGGACTGTTACTGTGAAGGCAGGTGACAGGGGGGTGGGTGCAGATTGTGTCCTTTCCTCTCTCTGGCAGGGCTACCAAGGACATCCAGCCTAGTTCAACAACCCACTGAGCTCTTCCTGAAAGGACTACCAAGTCAGGTCAAACTGGCATAGCCACCGCTGGTCCCCTTGCCACAGCTGGCTGGGAGTCAGAGCCCCTCCTGAGAACAGAGTCCCACCCATCCTTCCCCGCTCTGTGCTGTGAGGAGGCCTGAGGTCTAATGGGGCACGCACAACTCCAGTGTGACCTCTGAGTTCCTAAATGTTTTACTTTGAAATGTCTCTTTTTGCTAAATACCTGACTTTGAAAAGGTAAAATGCTTTCTTTTGGAAAAGTTGTTATAGGAAACTGAATAAACTTGGGATTCAGGAGGCAGGTCCTGCCAGGTTTCAGGAGTTGGGTTTAAAACTGGAAACAAGGGAAGGAATAAATGGGCATTTGGGGCTTAAAGTACTTCTGTTTTATGTTAATGTAAAAATTACACAAATCTATTATTCATATATTATAAACATAATCATTATAGTACATATTTATAGTTTTATAATGTATTATAAAATATATGTATATTTTATATATATATCTCTCTCTTTTTGAGATGGAGTTTTTGCTCTTGTTGCCCAGGCTGGAGTGCAATGGCGCGATCTCGGCTCACCGCAACCTCCGCCTCCTGGGTTCAGGCAATTCTCCTGCCTCAGCCTCCTGAGTAGCTGAGATTACAGGCACGCACGACCATGCCCAGCTAATTTTTTGTATTTTTAGTAGAGACGGGGTTTCACCATGTTGACCAGGATGGTCTCGATCTCTTGACCTCGTGATCCACCCGCCTCGGCCTCCCAAAGTGCTGGGATTACAGGCTTGAGCCACCGGAAGTTTCACTTTTATTGCCCAGGCTGGGGTGCAATGGTGTGATCTTTGCTCACTGCAACCTCCACCTCCCGGGTTCAAGCGATTCTCCTGTCTCAGTCTCCAAGTGGCTGAGGTTACAGGCATGCACCATCATGCCCAGTTAAGTTTGTATATTTAGCAGAGATGGGGTTTCACTATTTTGATCAGGCTGGTCTCCAACTCCTGACCTCAGGTGATCCACCTACCTTGGTCTCCCAAAGTGCTGGGATTATAGGCATGAGCCACTGCACCCAGCCTAAATATTTTTAAAATAATAATTTATAACATCGAAATCTATTTTGGCTGGGCACAGTGGCTCATGCCACCAGCACTCTGGGAGGCCAAGGCAGGTGGAGCACTTGAGGCCAGGAGTTCAAGAACAGCCTGGCTATTGTGGTGAAACACTGTCTCTACTAAAAATGCAAAATTTAGCCAGGCATGGTGGCACACGCCTATAATCCCAGATACTTAGGAGGCTGAAGCAGGAGAATCACTTGAACCAGGGAGGTGGAGACTGCAGTGAACTGAGATCACGCCACTTCACTCCAGCTTGGGCAACAAAGCAAGACTCTGTCTAAAAAAAAAAAAAAAACTAGCAGGGCATGGTGGCTCATGCCTGTAATCCCAGCACTTTGGGAGGCCAAGGCAGGTGGATCACTTGAGGCCAGGAGTTATAGACCAACCTGGCCAACACGGAAAAACCCTGCCTCTATTAAAAATGCAAAAACAAATTAGCCAAGTGTGGAGGTGCACGCCTGTAGTCCCAGCTACTCTGGCAGCTGAGGCACGAGAATCACTTGAACCTGGGAGTCAGCGGCTGCAGTGAACCAAGATGGCGCCACTGTACTCCAGCCTGGGCGACAGAGACTCTGTCTCAGAAAAATAAAAGAAAGAAAAAAAATCTATTTTAATATAAATATAATAAATTTGTAGAAAACATAAATAACATGTAAATGTGCAAAAACCCTAAATGTCATCATTATCCCCCTACAAAAAACTCATTGATGTCAATATTTTAAGATATTTCTTTCTGACCTTACTCAATGCATATAAACAAACAGGCAAACAAACAATCCGATATACCACCTACACTTACTCTACAATCCTGGCAGAGACAGAACACGCTTCTTTTCCAAGAGTTCTAGCAAAAATCTCAGGATCCAGTCTCAGGGGCCCAGAGTGGGTCACATGCCAATTTCTGAGTGAATCTCTCTGATGAATTGTCAGGCCTGAGTGTTATACCCAGTCCAACCCAATCACATGCACTGAAAGTTGGTGTGGAGAAATAGCTCCCCTGAGGAAAATCAGTGTATGAATACCCAAGGAGGCCTCTTTGTTGGGTGGTAACAATTCCCACGTCTGCTACTGGGATGCTGCCCTTGGTTTGCCCATATTAAATTATTAACTGTGCCTTCATGTGTTTGTCCATCATGTTCTCTGCAAAAATGCCCTACCCTACCTTTTCTGATGGACAGATCCATGTCAAAGTTCTGGTGTATGAATCCTTCCTTTGCAGTCCCTCACTGAATCCTTCCTTTGCAGTCCCTTGGCAACATCAGGTGCTCTCTTCTTAGACCCACTCGCTGTGGGCAGGAGCATCCAGCATTATGCACCTTTACCTTCACCTCGGCACTCAGCACCACAGCTGGCTCAGAGGAGACTCACCATCAACCCCTGTGGAATAAGTCCTCCACTTTCAGAGAAATCATGGTGTGCCTTCATCTACTCAGGCAGCCCTAAACTTCCACGCGGTGTATGAAAACATTTGTAAATCATTGTTTGAAACTTGGAGCAAATTTCTCCATAAGAAAGTCATAGATGATAGTTATAATTAAGTTCTAGAATCTACAACGGTGGATTGAACCCATAAGGTAGTTTAAAGGGACTAAGTGTGTACTTTTTTGTGTTGTTACATGTAGTGAATGAAACCATGCATGTGGAAATTCTTTGCAAATGCAAGTAATTATTATAATCATTAATTACAAAGCTTATAATGAATAGTATCACACCCTTCCCCCATCATCCTTCTTCCCCTCTTCTTGTTTTGTCTGTTTTTTGGCTTTCTCCTCTTTTCCACCAAGTCTCCCTTACATCTGGGTTTACTAGAATGTGATGGACTGGTGAGGAGCCCATGTGCTAATTATAGCCGTGTTCCCTTGGGCAATGTGGTGCGTGGTGATGTGAGAACACACCATTTAAGGGATACTTCCTTGCAGCCAAAGTGGCTTCTGAGAACTTTGTCCACAGTGGGGAAGAATGTGGAGAACACGCTCTCCCACCAAAGGCACGCCTTGCCTTTTACCCTGCCTGAGCAACCACTTAGGGCAGAGAAATTTGTAGAAGAGGATTTTGTCATCCAGGGAGTGCCTAGGATGCCTGCATTTCTTGTCAGTGGACCTCCAGAAGGACAACTGAAGGGAGGCCAGGGAAAAAGGACCAGAGGACTCAGAGCCTGGCGAGGACAGCAACGTGAGAACTGAGGTTTTAGTTTGGCCAAGTGATCTATTCCCAAGGCTGGGAATAGATCAAGACCTTTAAGGAGAAGGTGACATAAAGACTTTTATGGAATCTTGGATGCTTGAAATAAATGTTTAGGGAACATTTAAAATAAATTCCTACTTTAGAGAGTAGAATGGTGGTTACCAGAGGCTGGGAAGGCAAGGAAGGAGATGTTGACCAAAGGGTACAAAGTTTCAGATAGGAGAAAGAAGTTTTCTAGCTCTGTTCCACAGCATGATGACCATAGTTAATAATCATGTAGATTGCTAGAAGAATTGATTATAAATTTTCTCACTACAAAAAATAAGTGTGTGAGGTGATGAATGTGTTAATCAGCTTGATATAATCATTCCACAATGTGTGAGTGCGTGTATAGTACTTGTATATACATGTATTGTACAATGCGTGTGTATATATATATATATATATATACACACACACACACACATTGTACTGAAGGAGTACAATGTGATATAAATATATATATATATATATAACATATATACATGTTATATACACATAAAACATATACAAATAGGGAATAACATATATGTATGTTTTTATATATATAAATCACATTGTACTCCTTAAGTACAACATGTGTGTGTGTGTGTGTGTGTGTGTGTGTGTGTGTATTCACATGGTACAATACATGTATATACAAGTACTATATATATTTATGTATATAAATATATATAAATTACATTGTACCCTTTATATACAATTATTTATCAATTTAA